ATTAACACTTGCCAACTCAATCAAGTTATTCAATCCAGTTTTTTTTAATAAAAAATCATAACATTAAATTATAATAAAGGATATTAATTTTAAATTGAATACTGACGAATAAAGTATACTCTATTTTGACAAATTAAAAGTGAAAAAAATATAAAATTATACCATCAGTTCTTGAAATCATAATTTTATTGCTTTGCATATTTGCATGTAAAGATGTATTCTATACATTTTTGGTGATCAATAAATTAAAAAAAAATTAATAAGTTGAAGATCAAACTCCATTAATTCTTTTGGTTTTGACATCCATTAAGAATGCCCTAGTAATCTGCAGACCAAGATGAGGATTCTTGGGTGCAAACACATCGTACTTGCCCGAAAAAACAATGTCCTCCATATTCTTAACAATGAAGCTCAACGCTGTTTCCTTCAATGTCTTGTTGGAACAAACGTCAGAGATCTCTAGAATCTCAAGAACATTGGAAGCGTTCAATGAGCTCAACATGTATCTTTCGCAGAAATCCTGCAGGTAGGGGATCTCGTACTTATCGGCGGCGACGAATAACGAGTAGACGTGTTTCTCGAGTTTGTCCGAATCCAGGTTTCCACTGTAAAGAAACTCAAGAAGAGATTCAAGTTCTTCTGTGTTCAATTCTGGTATAGTAATTGTATCACTTGGTGGAGCTTTGCAGTCGTCTGAATCCAGCATGTCCCTGAATATCTCTGATCTTGCTGCCTATAATTTCAGTCAATAATTTTTCACGTTTAAATATGTATAATTTGTATATGTTAATAGAAGTAAAATAAACAACCTAAAAGAAAATTCTGAACAGATACTACATTGTAATCATCCGGGACTGTTAAAAGAATAGTAAAATGAAGAAAGGGAAGGAATTACAAGTAAAGCCCTGTGTGCTGGTATGGTAGGACCATCGTTTCCAGGTTTGAGCTGAATATCAGTGTGAATTTGATCTCTAAAAGCAACGATAAGTCCACTCAGGAACCTTATTTTCTTGTTCAGATCTTCTTCTATCTCCTTCATGTTTGTTATCCATTTGCTAAGATTTCCAAGTGGCTGTTGCTAATACCCACAAAACAAATAACATATATTAACATCTATGGAATTATGAAGCTGTGAAAGAAATTAAGAGATGCATTAACTCTATGTCACTATATAAACAGTGACGTATCTAGAAATATTTTTAAAGATGAGTACATATATTAACAACTAGTGAATCAGGGACGGAGGCACGAAACTATGATACCAGTTCAAAGGGATAAAATATAATTAATTATAAAAATAGAGAAACAATATATAATTAATAATAGAAAATGAAGAAACGAGATCAAAATTAGCTAAAATTAAGAGGTATAATTTTTTTTAATGAAGTGACCACAAATAAAATTTTAGGGTAATCACTATGAGTAAATAGATAACTGATGAAGAAGATTTGGATTTTAATGTCCACCCTCAATAAGATTGCATAAAAAGAGAGAGAAGGAAACATGAAAGAAGAGGTTGCTTGCCTTACAAGAATTGGGTGAAGAAGATGCAGTGGGAGTGGTATGTGGTGATTTACAGTGATGATCAATTTCGAGCTTGTTCATCAAAGTGATTACATTTCTTGCACCTTCATAGCAAGCTCCACATATTGTATTCCTTGGAGGCCTTAGAATAAATGGCATTGAACTGCAAATTGAACAATCCATTTTTACCTTTCTGTTAATTTGCAGAGGAAGGAGAAGAAGAAGAGAAAGAGTTGTGATTTTGCAGAAGAAGAAGATGGGATATTTTTTCTTGATTTGAAGCTTTAAATTAAAAGAATTGTTGGATGATAAGGATGGAAGTTTGTTATACCTTATTTTATTGATGTTGATTAACATGATAAATCAACTAACATATGATGGGGGCTTCCCATATATATATATATATATATATATATATATATATATATTTAATCAAATGACAAATCCACCCTTTCAAACGCTTATATAAGAAAAGACTGATTGAAGCTTGTGAGAGGAGGGTTAATGGCAAAGTGAAGAAATTGTAGGTAAATAAATTCTTTTTTTTATTAATTTAAGTGTGATTATAAAGTAGTATATGTTTGAAAGATTCTCTCTTCTGAAAATAACAAGCAACCTTTTAACCAATGAGATAACTTGGTTCGTGCGTAGGTAAGTAAATTCTAAATAAATAATAAGTTGTGTTCCTTTTTTGGTTACAAAAAAGTTTAGGTAAGGTGTAGATTTCCCAGACTAGGGCCAAAGTATACTTAACATCCAATTAAGATTTACATAATAATTTACAGATTGCACACCAAAAATAACAATGGTAAGATTTGAACTTGACCTTACAAACTCAAATTCTAGATTCACAACCACTTGGACCAACACTCGGCATTGGCAATAGTTGGGTTCTTTTATACTATATGCACGTTTATTTTTTATTCAATAAATTAAAATTTGTATTTAATAGTTTCTAATTTTCTCATTTTATTTAGATACTGTTTAATTGAAAATTTCATATCGATTGATGCTATTTATAATATTAAATATAAATTTTAATTTATATATAATTGAAACACTTTAATCTTAAATGATAATTATAATTTCTTATTGATATAGTCCATCGATTTTTTTTCCAGTTACTCACTTTTTTCAGATTATTCATATTAACTTTAAGTTTTAAGATATTTTTATTTTATTTTGATAACATAATTTTGTTCTATAAATTTTAAATATTATTTGACAAAGTTTCAAAATATTTTTTATGAATATTTAAATAAAATAAATTTTCAATTAAATAAAAATAATATATTTTTAATATTTTTAAAATTAAAATATTTATTTTTTAAATTATAAAATAATTAAAATTAATTATAACTTTGACCCTTATTCTTCATTTTTAGTGTATTTTGGTCATCAACATTTTATTTTAGGGTAAAAGACATCTATTTTAGAGTGTTAACCTTTGTTAACTAACATTTTCTATTTATAGATAACTTTTCTTTTTTACCAAAATGAAATGTTGATGGTCAAAATACTCTACAAAAATGTGTCAAAATGACTATTTTAATAAACATTAGAGACTAATTTTTTCATTATGTCTAAAATATATTATGATAAATATGAATAATTATTTTATTATAATTTGAATAGTAATTTTTAAGTAAAGTTTATTTTAAATATCAAATTATTAATTGAATAAAAAATAAAACTTTTTTTGATGAAAAGAATAAAACTTTTATTTTTTCTTTTTAAATTCATGTTATTATTGATTTGAAATATGGGAGATATGATTAGGGACATACACGATATCTAAATTTGATTAGTTTTGATTAAACATGATCTTAAATTTGATTAGTTTTGATTAAACATGATCTTATTAGATAGAGTTTTTTTTAAAAGAAAATTGAAGTTCAGGTTAGGTCTGATCAGGTTTTTTTAGAGGATAAGTTTGAGTTAACAAAGTTTCATTATGCTTTTGCTTCTATTTTATTATATTAGAGAAATGGATGGAATTAAGAATGAAACAAGCCGAAAAATAATGTAATTCTTATATATTTAGAGATAATTATAGTAATACTCCTCTCTATATTAGTTTTTTTTATAACTAGATCCCTATTTTATTGAATAAAATTAAGAAATTTTATAAATATATTTGTATCTGGTAAGGTAGGGTTGGGTTCAAGTTTTATCTCAAAAGTCAAATCTAATTTTGAGTTGAATGAAGTCATCCTAAATCCAAGTCGAATTAAATTTTGAGTGGAAGGTATATTATTTTTAGATCGGGCCAAATTGACCGAAAACTCGACTCATGCCCATCTTTAATTATCCCACGAACACCTATGGTTCAAATTATGTTGCATGCAAATATAGCTGTATAAGAATATAAATGAATTATTAGAAGGGCAGAAGAGTACAATGGATGAATGAATTTAGAATGCAAGAAAAAGGAGGGAGTTGTTAGGGGATGTGAATAAAGTTTTCAAATGGGAAAAGTTAGGAAGAAGAAAAAGACTTTCCAACATTACAACGGCAAGGATATGCAAGACAATGTGTTTCCTACCAATCTTTCACCAAAATTTATTAATTCACAACCTTCTTAAGTGCTTCCCAAAAGGTTGTGATTTCAACATACAATATGAGAATATTCATATTCATATATATATATATATATATATATATGAACAAACACATAATTTTATATTAAGAACTAATTTATAAAATTTTAGAGAAACAAAAATAATTTATCAATAGAAAATATTTAGGTTATATAACAAGTTGAATTTTTCATAAAGATGACTACTCTCCCAATCCCTTCGCTCCATCCTTATATATACACACAACCTGAGATAGCGTTCATGGGGTGACAAAACAAGTCTATGAAAATTAGGGATGTTCATTATTCGGTTAATCGGTTAGTTAATTTGATGTTACACCAACTAACTGTTACGAAAATTTTCAAAGTTTGATTATTGGTTAATTTGGTTTGAAATTAGTTAATTAATCAAAAATATTAAATATAATATAATATATATTTTAAACTCAAATCCATTAAGAATTAAAATACAACTATTTTTTAACTACACTGTAACCATTAAAATTTTAAGAACCAATTAAATTTTAACCCAAATAAAAAATATCTCTACTGAATTCAAATTAATTTGATTAAAAAAATTTATTAACAAATTCTATTAATTTGGTCACATGTCAAATTAACCGAGCTTTATTTGGTTTGGTTAATAATTAAAAAAATAAATTCAATTAACAATTAAAGAAAATAAGTTTGATTAATTTATTGTAGGTTAATTTAGTTCGGTCGATTACCGAATTAACAATTAGAACACCATATATGAAACCCAAGGAAAAATAATGAAACCCAAGAAAAAGAGCAGCCCATTCATTAAGTCCATCACCCAATTCCAGATATTCATGGCCCAATGAAAGTATATAAACCCAAAGAAGGGAGCCAAGTTTTTCCGCCAACACCAAAACAATCATCACTGCAATCTACCAAGGAAATTGAACTCTCGGGAAAAATGGAAGCAACGAAATCAAGAAGGAAACTCACCAAAAGGAAACCCTTCACTGATCTCACCAACAGAGCCCCATCATCTCTCCCTTCTTCTCTCTTATCCTCTTCAATAATCAAATCCCAAACCAAATCTTCACACTCCTTGCCTCTTAAATCCCTTGTCAACAACAGCCCCAATGCAGATCCTAACTCTAACGCTAGTTTCACTGCAAGCGCATCCCCAATGAATGATAATGGTAACAGTGACAAGAAGAATACGGAAGACAAGGCAAAAGGTCTAAGTAACGAGGAAAACCCTATCCCAACCCTGTCTCCGCCGCCCAAAATTCCTTCTATTTCAGGTGATTTTGATGTGTTCTCGGATTTTCTCTTCTGGTTTTTGACTTGATTTCGATATGGCGTTTTGGTTTTGGAATCACTGGTTTTCTAGTTTTTTTAAGTTTTTAATGTGGGTCCTGATGTTTTAATTTTAATAAATTGATTTAACATTTTCGCATCAATAGAGCTCATTGGGTTTTATCTCTATGCTCAATGAAAGCTATATAGAATTGCTTTTACTATTATTCGATGAATTTGAATAGTTTAGTTTCAAGTTTTCATTTGCTTCGTTTTAATGAAACCTACACCGCATGAATGAATATAGTTATCTAGATTCTAGACAGTATCCGATTATCCGATGCGTACTGTTTTCAGCTATAAAACTATATATATTTAGAAACATAGTTGAAAATAGTTTGGAAGTTGGTGATCTATGTATTCTCAACCATTTTTGGTCCCTAGTTTTATGGATTATACACGTATTTCGGGTCTAATGGATTGTATGTATGGTTTGATTTTAGGCTGGGTTTGATTTTAGGCGATGTTGATTCTTTACTTTCCGAGTTTTCTACGGTTTACAAAAGGATTCAGACTGCTGAAAAAAGGAAGAACAAAGGGAAGGGGATTATGGAGCCTTCGAGTTGCTCTCTTGAAACAAGGATGCCAAACTTAAGGTGATTTCCTTTTAATCAGGTTTTGTACTTGGTATTTGATAACTCTAGAAGACGAAGGGTGATTGAAATGTGTTAGCATAGCATAATTAAAAGAATAAATGGTTTGATTATCAATGTCATGGTATGGTAGCCATTGATGCTATCAGATAGTATTTTCCTTGTTCTAAGTAGCCATGTACTAGTAATTACTTAAATGATTGAAATGGTCATCAGCATTAACTCTCAACTCTTTAGGTGGTTTGGCTTTAGGTGACAGTACTTATATGAGTGCCCCAAAAGATTTGTTGATCAACTGTACCAAATGTTTGGGGTTTTGATAGGCTGACCATATTTGACAGTAGAAAGTAGATTGATAAAGATCTGACGTAATTTTGAAATTGGTTTAGCTAATTTCATATATTCTTTTATCTTCAATATCTTCCTCTTACTTTCATTATTGAGTCTCTCTAGAGATAGTGACTGATGGGCTGAAAGTCAGTTTTGATACAGTTTTGCTTTAGATGCCTGTGTTTTCCTGTGTTTTTAGCAACTGTTTACAAAAGTGATGTTATTTTGTAAATTAACTTTTCTTTGAGCAGTGAGAAAATGAATTTTGACCAAAATGATTCGGGTATCAAAGTTGAAGATCTTTGAATTTGTATGTTGTGAATTGTGATAACATGAAATACATAGGTATTGAAAATTACATTCTTGCATAATCAGATAATTTATTTTCTTTGCTCAAATTTAAATGCTTTCTTCTGTCAATGTTAACCACTATATTTGTTCTACATTTCATTAATACGGAAGATCTCTGTTGCTTAACATTTGATCAGATTATGATGATCTCCCGTTGAATGTTTTCCCTCGGTTTCATCTAGTAATGCTGTTTCTCCTTGTCTTTAATATAGGAAGAAAACATATGGAGATGGTGATATTGGTCTCTTCGAGTCATGTCTGGGGCCTTGTAGAAAGGTTGGTTTGAAGATTCCCCTAGCTTCTTAATCTAATTTATATTGAATTGTTCTTTGGAAAAAAATGATTTATATTAAATTGATAACATGCTATTGATATTTGGTTTGTGAATTTTTGGCCTTCATTGAGACAATTTCACAAGCTCTTTAAAATCTTTTGGATCTGTATATAAAGCCCACAATTTGATCAAAAGTGTTTATGGATGACTCTCAACTGTATATTGCATTCCTTGTCATGATTACCACTATCAGTATCAAGTTTCAGAAATATCGAGACAATGGTTAGCGGACGGTATTGAAAGCATTTTTGCTTTAGTTATATTGTTGCTAATAGATATAGTATGTTGCTGTTTTGTTTTGCATCAAGTCATATCGTTCTTGTCTGTTTGAAGCTTTTTTCTTCCATAAGCATATGCATACCCAAAGATAATGTTATTAATATGCATTGAACTGAGCTCGTTGGTTTATGTCATTATCACAGAAACAACACGGAGAGAAGGCTGAGGTAAATGCTTCCAAGCATGACTCACCCCAAGATTACATTGACAAGCAGAGAGCCTATTTTGCGGAGATCGATGCATTTGAACTGGAACAGGAGGTAGCATCAGCTGATGAGTCGGAATAGATGAAAAAATGTATATAGCTAAATGATTTAGGTTAATACAATTTAGGTGCTCAAATCCTGTAATTTCCATCTGTTGCTGTCGACTTTTTCGAAGTGGCGAAAACCGTAATAAATTTAAAAATTGGAATTTTAGAAAAGATTTGAAATGTTTGGAGTCACCATCAACCTTTGGGATTAGGTAGGATGAAAACCCGGGATACACCTTTTTAAATAATAAATTTAAAAGAAGTAATTTGATTTTCGATAATGAGATTTTGGGTTTGGGAGTCGATTACGTTTGGGGAAGTTTTAACACTCCCATAATGCTAAAATATTGATACCTCCAATTACAAATTTATTCCTATATTAAAAATTAAGAAATTCAAATATTTATTTAATTAAAGATCTTTCATTTCCTAAAACATTTTAAATTTTAGAGAGAGACGATATTCATTTATTTCCAATTAAAGAAGATATTAACACCCTAATCTGAATTAAGGCGATTATCTCTTACGTTTTAATCGAAATAATGAAATATTGTCATCCTTAAAAATTAAGGAATTAATCAATTATTAAACCCTAAAAGAAAATTAATAGTGACAAATTAGTCAAATTATTATTTAAAAGAATAAGGATGTTCCTTGATTTAAAAAACAAAGACCAAACCTTTGACGTTAATCAAACTTGTCTTTAGCAATTTAAACGTATGAACAAACCTCTACCATTTTGTTTTGATTAATAACCTATTCGATTTTTGGGTGATCACTGGATAGAATATTTATTTATTCGAAAAACACTGAACATAAATGTCTAGTTATTTTAAGACCATTCCTTTCAATATTTAGGAATAAAAGAACATTTTTTTAATCAATTTATGAATTTGTATTTATGTGTCTCTAATTAATATTATTAAAAGGACTAATCTTAAAAGGACATTACTAAACTTATTTGATTTCTAATAAGGAACCTAAACTAAGGTTTGAATTAAAACTAAAACACTTAAAATTTACGGCTCAATTAAAGAATCTAAAGGCCAACCCAAAATTAGTGATTAAATAAAAATATTGAAAAATCTAAAGGTTTTATTATTGGTTTAAACGTGTGTCTATTTTAAAAGATTTACAAATTGACATTTAATATTAATAATTAAACACATTTAATAAAGCAATCAAGGCAATTAGGAAGAAATTAGTGACTAAATTGAACTCTTTCAAAATTTGGGGAACAAATTACAAGCATTTGGTGATTAGAATCTAATAAATGAAAAGTCAGAGACAAGACCAAAAACACGCTAAATGTATAGTGTTTTAATGAGACAATTAGACCAAAAATTAAACACCATAAAAGCAACAAAAAAAACATAATCCTCATTTTCAACACTCCAAAAATTTCTTTCTCCCCAAATCTTCTCATCTAGCCGAAAATCAACCCCAAAAAAACTCTCAACACATTCAAACATTCAACCTTTGTTCTTCACATGTTCATCCAAAAAACAAGTTCAATTCATCACAAACATCTAACACCCCCCAAAATATGGTTTTTAAAGATCAAACTAACAAAAACTCCTAGAATATTACCATATTCGTCTTCCAAAACCAAATTTGATTCTCCACTAGGACCTAAAGCTTTTTTTTTTCAAAGATCAAACTAACCAAAACCCCAAGAACACCCCAAGAACCAAGACCTAGTGTTATTATCTACCCAAACTATCACCATTGTTCATTAGAACCGAAACCCATCTTCCCTAACCTATACTACCCAAAAATCGAAAACATGTCGCCTTTTCCTCCACCAATCCAACACCGAACAAACACTTTGGCCAACCATCTAGCCCCACTGGCCACCCTGTCACCACAAACTCGAACCGAGGCAAAGAGAAAAAGGAAAAGAAGGATCACTGAAAATCGAGCTTCTCCCGATGATGCTTATATTCTCCAACGGCAGTAAATGACTTTCTCCTATCTTTTCTCTACTAAAAAATGCTTAGTATCTTGGTGATATATTCTTTGTGGATAATGCTTTGTGATTACTTCTAATGATGAACATCTTTTTATAGAGTGATTTTAACCCGAATTTGCGATTCTTGCTTAAAAACCGTTGAAGAAACAATTGTCATAGCTTGAGATTCGAGAACATTAGCTCATTTTAATTTTTTGCATCCCTCGAAACTTGACCGGCGATGGCGTGATACAGTGGCGATCCGGTGGTGGTGCGCGTGTGACTCACACACCGACGACGCTCTGACGAACTCCTCGGCCGGTGGTGATGTCGGTGGTGCCCTAGCCTCCTTGAAGAAGATGAAGTCTTGGCTACATCCTTGATCAAATGGTTGAGATTGATTGTGTTTCTATCACAAGGATGGATGACGTGGCTTCATGGTGGCCCTTAGATCCATCTATTCATCAATGACACCTATCACTTTGTGCTTCTTTCACATGGATTCAATAATCCATAACCATTGGATGGAGGCTAATCAAGGGTGTATATTGTTTTGTGCTTTCTCATTTGGATAGGTGACATCACACCCAAAAAGATGAACTAAATTAATGCCTTGACATTTTGACTTTCAAAGTAAACCTTTCCCCAAAAGCCTTCTAAAATCGGTAACTAGATGTAGATTTAGGGCCTTTTTGTTTTTATTTATTTTTATTTATGCATATATTGTAAAACAAATGTGGCCTAATACTTGGGCCTATGTAAAAAATGTATTGGCTAATATATTTAATAAAATGGTTTTTTTTTGCTTTTTGGAATATTTTTATTATTTATTAAAGAAAAATAAATGGGCTTGATTTATAGAATTGACTAATATTTAAAACTAAAATATGGACTCATTTGTTTAATAGACTATATGATATGTAAACCATATACTATATACTATATTTTGAAAACTATATACTATCACTTTAATATGCACCATACTACATACCAACACTTATTATTTTTTGAAAAACAAAACTATATACTAAAGCCCATTATATCATATACTATATTATGTAATATGTATTTAAAACGAAATGTCACCACCCGGATAAAATGGGTGATGATAGCTGCCCGTATTTTCTCATTGACGTGGAACGTGAATGAAACAAAGACAAAAAGCACCAATTTTTCTGGCTGACTACAAATCATGAACTCCAAATCCTTCTGATACGAACCCTTTACTCTCAGATAAAAAGTCTACTCTGAAATATGAGCAAGCTCTCCTATATGAACTCCTCATTTTCAAAACGTCTTGAACAGAACATACAAGATCTCCTATATGAACCCTCCATTCTACCACAACAACTCAGTCTAGGTCGAATGAGCTCTCCTATATAAACTCATTTTTCCTACATTTATGTCGATTCACCTCTTTCTTTGATGAAATCGAGCAAAAAAAAATACTGATCCAACTCTTTTTGTGAAGAATCAAGCAAAATGATGAAGCTGACCCACCTCCTTCTGTGATGGTGTCGAGCAAAATGATGATGCTATTCTGACTCATTATATGAAGAAATGAGCACCATATTTTCACTGATCCAACTCCTTCTGTGAATGATCAAGTGAAAGCTTGTCACCGATCCAACTCCTTTTGTGAAGGATCGAGTAACATAAAAAAAGTTGATCCAACTCCTTACGTGAAGAATCAAAACAATTGTCAACATCGATCTACCTTCTTCTGTGATAAAATCGAGCAAAATAAGATTATAATAATTCAACTCCTTCTATGAAGAATCGAACAGAATGACACTGTTGATCCAACTCCTTCTATGAAGAATCAAACAAAATGTCGATGTTGATCTACCTCCTTCAGTGATAGAATCGAGCAAAATAAGGTTATACCGATCCAACTCCTTTTACGAAGGATAGAGCAAAAGATTGATACTGATCCATCTCATTTTGTGATGAAATCAAGCACCAAAATGGATGTTAGAACCAAAAAGGATCTCCTATATGAACTTCTCCAACTTCCAACAAATTTCTGTAAAATGTAATGATGCACATGTGTTGAGCTCTTCATTGAACTCCAGTTTCTGCTGGGGAATATATCATTTGAAAATCACCATCCCTGTCAAAAGGTTAGAATGTTTGGAATGAATGAATAAACATGCATGTTCCTATTTATATGCCTAAACATGAATGCATGATATCAATCAAAACCATAATTTCCATTGACTCGTGGGCATCTCCTTTTCTTTTTTGCTCAATCTTCATCTTCATGATCCTTGCAAAGTTCCAACTCATGGTTTCATGGTTTCATCTCAAGCTCAGAATCAAACCCTTTATGTATTCATTTTGGGTTTCTTCCTCATATCCTCTCTAAAGCGCCCTTTCATGTTTCTACTTTAGATTTACTTTTCTGAAAGCGCCTTTTTCGGGTTTTCACTTTGGTTTTTACTTATATTTTTCTTTCTTTTTCTTTCCTTTTCTTGGGTTTTTTTTCTTTTTCTTTTTCTTTTTCCTTTTCCTTTTCCTTATTCTTTCTCTTTCTTCTTTTTCATTTCCTTTTTCATTTTTTCTTCTCTTTCAACAACAATCTTTCTTATATAACCAAATAGCATCAACTTGAAGAAAATATGCTCCAATGAGAACTGAAATGTCAAACTTGATATCGTCATTTCAAATTTGTGGCTTACAAAGCTTCCCATTTAATATGCTCTACGCATACTCTTCTTCACTAAACACTAGTGTCTAGATCTTGAACTACTTTTGATTCCCCGCGCTCTGAAGATTAGCTCAAAGTAATACAAAGAAATCTTATGTTTTTATATATTCACCATATTGACTCACTCGAAAGATGCTTAAAAATAAAAGAAATGCTAGAAACAAAAGCTTAGATTTAAAGAAATACAATTCATTGATGAAAATTCAGAATTTTACAAAGTCATGACAATCTTAGAAAGGAAAGAAAATGAAAAAAAGTACAAATGCTTTCAACCATTATTAGCAAGAAAGTTTCTGTACTAATCAACTCTGGAGCACTAATGCAAGCCTGTGTTTAGAAGACTTCAAATGTTGTCAAAATGCCTGCATACATGAAGCTTCTCCTAAAATATCAGACTCTCGAGAGGATATAAATTGCCAAATGCCT